TCACAAAGAACACCCTTGACACTCAACCGAAAACGGCGTCGCACATGGTATGTCAGAATGGCAGCATCGTGCCGCGTCCCATTCTCCGCAGATATCGGCTGGATTAAATGGTGTCGGCACGATCTTTCCGATTTCAGGCCAATATCGACACAATACTGCGTGCTGCATGGGCTGTATATTTCCACGTCTTTGTTCATCTTTTGCGAGCGGAGACGATTTTTGTCAAATCGAAGTTGAACTGATAAAACTAATGCACGCGCGACACGTATTTTTTTACTCATGTTGGACGGAGCGTTCAATCGGAGTTTCAAAAATTATTCTCTAGCACTTCCTAATTTTACGCGACTTCGTGTTGCGATTCAATCTACTCGGTGTTTGCACTGCCTTACATCAGCAGCAGTTTCACTGAAGCAATAAGCATGCACGGCTATAAAATCATGGGTGTATCCGACTGCATCACCATTACGCCTATTTCACACCATGTGAATCAAGGGCGTAAACTTCGCCCATACACCCTTTTTACAAAATTTCAGACACCATCGCTACAGGTTAAGCGTAAAAAAAGCGTGTAAGGGAATTAAATTATCCGCACACCCTTTTTACGACCACCGAAATTAAGAAATTGTGTAAAAAGAGTGAAAGAATGGGGTTTCCTCACTTACACCCATCTCACACCCTTTTTACATGATTATGGGTGTTACAATGTTTAGTGTGCAGACTCGGAGTCTCAGGGCTTTATGCAATATTCAAAATATGCATCCGCTGCGTTCCTGCTAAAACTCAATTCTGGATTTGGCGGTTGGATAAATGAATGAAGATAGAAGTCTAGGCATTTTATTTATTAGTAAGTTCAGCCAATATGAAGAGCCAGTCCTAAACGGCGCACAAACTGCAGTGCTCTCTCAGCGTCATACGGGCGCCCACCTCTTTTGCCGAACAGGAGTAAATGTTCTTGGGAGAAATACTACCTGGAAAACTAGGCATGCCCATAATGACAATCGAGGCCAAGCTAAGTGCCGCGTTCGACACAGAAATAAGTGTTTTGCCTGTCGTGAAAATGTCCTGTCCAAAATACCTTTGTCCTGTGGCAAATGCTACGTTGGGCAGACGGGGAAATGCCCCAACGACAAGTTAAGGGAGCCTAAGTAGGCGTGTGCTCTGCTCCAGGTTCTAAGCAACCTAGCAGTACATTAGTCGAAATGCAATTACTAGACAAGGTTCGGAAGGGCCCCAATCTTGGCATGATCCGAGAAAAAACAGCAGCGACAAAATAGTGGAAGCCTACATTATGGTGTCAGGGGGACATGGCACGTGTGTCAGCGAGTCGTCAATATCTCTTAACAAAATATAAATGGAATTGCTCAACACCTTGCAGCATCATGGCGGGCAGCCACGTCTCTGTTGATAGCTGTGTCGTAGCGCCGAATCAAGCGTATAGTCATGTTAGTTATCGTTTTTCTATATGTTATTGTTACCGGGATTTCTTTCTCAATCCATATTTTTACGTTTTATGCTTGAAAGTGTTTCCCTTTCCTGTGGGATAGAAGGAAATGAACTCTTGTTAGTTGGCGCTTTTTGTGTTCTTGTTGTTATTCCATTGTCTTAGTTTTGTCCTTGTCCTTGGCTGCGCAATTTAACATCAATTATGACTGTTACTTCCACATGGACGCTCCTCCTCTACAGGGCTTCAATTAATGAGCTAGAGCGATATCGAATATTCATTGACTCAAGTATAGTCCGACCTCAAATCCTGTACTCCATCTTGGTGCACAGTACATTCACTGCAAGCGATGAGTGGCACACAGCGTGGGGGTTATTTTGGCACGGACCACGAACTTGATATATGAGACCAATCAGTAGATGTGTTAGCTGCACTACGCCACCCTGCTCTGCTCGAAATCGGAGCATAGAAAATTCTCAAACGACAAATGAATACGTTTTTAAAACAAAAAAGAAAAGAACTTCGAGGTGCTTTGTAGCGTATTTTAAACTAGCTTTTAGCACCCAGTTGGCTTAGACGTGGACCAAGTATACCATGAAGATTACATTTTTATCGATTCAAATCACTTGATATCGGAAGCAAAAACGTCCCGCCTGCCTTTTCCTTGACCTTCTTCATTTTTCAGAAAGGCCACGCGCTTTTTACGATTAGCAAGAGCTCCCTTCATGCACTTATATGGTTGAGATACGTGAAGCAGAAATTTCTACCTAAAACATGGCGGGCAAAGTAGCACATAAAAAATGCGAACTCGAAACGAAGCCCTGAAGATAAGGGGGGCATTAGCGGGAAACCCCCGCCTTCAAATCTCGCTCAATGTTGATCCGTCACGTGGCTTGAAACTTTAGAACGGGATCGGATTGTTGTGGAAGTTGGTCATGAAGCAGACTTACAAGTCCCGGTTATCCTGAGAAAAGTCTAACATCGTTGGCAGAAAGACTCCTCAGAAACCGTAATCCACGCACGTCGCCGTTTTCAATCCGAAAATATTAGATCACTTTCGGGCTCAGCAAGTTCTGTACTGTTTAAATCTACGATCAGTTGCCACGTTCGTAATATCATAAACTCTTATAAAAATACAAATGACACAAACAGTTGAACAGCCCATTCGGCTAACCCTTCGCTCCCCGCAGCGTGGAGAAGCTACGTGAGGTCTATGAGAAAGAGGACGCCATAAATTGTGTTTTTTTTTTTTTCAAAATGCGATATAAATGCGATAGGATTTTGCTGTACTGCCTCCTCCGATAAATTGTCATTTGTGACACGAAACACTATTAGAAAAACGAGGAGAGTTAAAAGAGTATAAATTGAACAGAAACAACCAATTTCGGAACTTCCCCACGAGAGAGTGTAACCTAGGACTCCAGGACTTTGAGCGGAACGTTTTACCACTGATCCAGGAGGGATACCTATCAAAAGGTAGCTAATCTGTGAGGTTTGCTTTTCTTCACTGCGCGCATGCGCAAGTCGCTGCACCAGGTGTGCACAAAATCTGCCGCGGTCTTCACGATTGCCTCACGAGAGGAGAGGGTTGTCTGAAAACGAGATGGTTGAAATAGAGAAGGTGAAGTGCCAAGTATGACCTCATTTACTCACCCCCAATTAATTTCCCTCTTTTTAGAGCGCAGCTCTTAGGCTCCCGTTTCCGGCTTGAGCGGCTTGAACCGTCAGCGTCGGCGTAACCGCGCGGTGCATTATGGGAAATGTCCCATAATCACCGCACGAGCCCCCCCCCCCCCGGTGTCACGTGACCTCGGTGGCGGAAGGGGGTACGTGACCCCCGAAGTCACATGACTCCCCCGAGGTCACGTAACCCCCAAGGTCACGTGACCCCCCCCCCCGATGACGTGAACGTCACTGATAACGTCACCGGCATCCGCATCGTCATCATCACTGATGACGTCATCGGGGACGTCACTGATGACGTCACCGGCATCCGCATCGTCATCATCACTGATGACGTCATCAGTGACTTCACTGATGGCGTCACCAGCATCCACATCCTCATCGTCATCATCACTGATGACGCCATCAGTGACGTCACTGATGTCGTCACCGGCATCCGCATCGTCATCATCAGTGATGACGTCATCAGTGACGTCACTGATCACGTCACCGACATCCGCATCGTCATTACCACTGATGATGTCATCAGTGACGTCACTAATGACGTCATCGGTATCTGCATAGTCATCGTCACTGATGACGTCATCAGTGACGTCACTGAGACATCATCGGCATTGTCATCGTCACGTGACCCCCAGGTCACGTGACCACCCAAGGTCACGTGACCCCCCCCGGTCAGTTGACCCACTCCCCCCCAGTACCCCTCCCTCCACCTCCTCAAGAGCTGCGCTCTAATTCGGCGTTACAGGGAGTTGTAAACGACTTCAACTTTTTGCCTTTAAGTACATTTGATTTTCTTTAGCTGCTGCATGCATTGTGGCAAGTTAATTAGCGGAAATAACGGTCATAGACGTTAAGCGATGCTATCACATTTCGACGTAACTTCCGGCGAAGCATTGTAGAAACACAAGTCCGTTTTTAAAGTTGTAAACATCGCCATTGAAATTTTGGTATTCGTATTCGGTTTCACATTCGACTTTCGGGCCACTATTAGGCACTGTGACGTCCCCGTAGGAAGGGGGGGGGGAAGCCACAGTGTGCTGCGCCTCAGCACATCCGATAGGATTCGTCGTCAAGGATGGACAGCACCCCGCAGCCTCGATTACACAACAATTTATGTGCAGCAAAGGAAACAGCCATCTAGGGATGCCAAGGGGGCACTCGTGGACACCCGTAAGAATAATAGTAACGCGACAGGCTCCAAGAGCATTGACAAACGGAGACCCGCAAGAATAATAGAGCAACCAAGTCTACATGCACAGCAGGTCCAGAGTTTCAATAACGGCACAACAGAGCACTGACAAAGTTCCTACGCGCTGCCAGGGAGCCAGATATAAGCAGTGACCTTCCTGCTGCGAGGTCGGTTTAATATAACGCTGAAATGTTCTAAGTGGCTGCAGACAAAACTCACGGTCTCTTGCTCGGCCGATTGTTTCGCTGAGGATTGTGCTGTGTCCGCTCCCTCCCGTTGGACCCGGCCGCTTCTTTTCTTGCAGTTCGGTTTCTCCTCACCGCACCCCGACAGGCCCCTCCTTCCCCATCTCCTTTCTGAATGTCTCTCCTTGCTCACACGGCCGCTACCAACGTCTTCTCCCCAGCAGCTGGTTTTCTTCCCCTCGAACGTCCCTTTTTCGTGGCGCATCGATGGTCGCCCGGTTCTCCTCCCCTACTAGCCACGGCCAGCCACGACATCCGCGTCAGGCACACTTTCACACACGCACTGCCACTCTATCGGGGGTAAATTTCATGACGAGGTCAACATCGTCACAAGACTAAGGGATCCGGATTACATCCGAGTTGAAATGCCTTTTTTCGGCTTCACACTTTGCAGGCGTGCGTCGATGACATCGGGCCAGAGATATATTCAGCAGCGGGCATGTCGAAGCACAAGGAAAACTCCACGCTTCACTTCCTGATCATTTATGATGATCATCAACTGTTGAAGACCAAGGTAAATGCTGCGCGGTGCGCCATCGAACATTGAGTTCAAGTGCGATTTATTTCATTCAGAATTGATTGAAGGATTGATCATATCTTTTAATTTTGTGTCGGATGGCTCTCTGACTTGGGCTCTTCAAATTAAAAGTGCGGAAAGTAAAGAGTAAATTAGGCGTTCGACACCTGATGCGAGAACCAAAGTCCATAGCGATATTAGCGTTTCCTTGGCTCGGCTGGCGTCGTGGGGTATTACCAATAGTAATATATTCAAAAGTTTAAAGCGCTCCGGATGGCGCCGTGGTAGTTTCTTGATAGCTAAATATTTGGGGACTGATTTTTTGTGCGTCAGTTCTCGGACGTTGTTCAGCGAACGGGCGCACTAAAAATCTATGTCTGACACAGCCGCCGTCATAGAACTAACGCCCTGCCATCTGTAGGTCGTTAGATTTGCAAAGGTATTCCCACCTGTCTATTGGGCATTTTGTGATAGGCCTTTCGACAGGCCACGTTTCATCCTCTTGCCCCCTTTTCACCCCCGGCTAGGGGGTGCCATCTCACTGACAGTTGGCGGTCGGCTGTCTGATCCGGTAACGTATGGGAATATTGCCCGGCGTCACGCGTGCCCCGCGACAGGTCCTGGAAGGAAGCTAGGCCGTTCACTTCCGGCTGACAGTGACCTGGAGTTAAGCCTTTTTCATCGAAGAACTCGGAGACAACGCCCAGGCGGGACGAGCGAACTCCAAGCCAACGGATATCGGAGAATTTACGTTGTTTGAGCTCTTTTCGCAAGAAGGAGAAGAGGCAGGGCAGAGACAGCATTTCCCAATCTGGCCCAAATGGTTATGATGAGCAGCGTCATCGGAGGCGCAACGCATCAAGCCACAAAGAGCTGTTGTCAAGGTGAAAAAAGAGGAAACACAAAACCACCAATTCCAATGACCCATCCACCGGCAGCGTTTGCGAGACCACAAAATCCAAGGGAGACAGACGCGTTCGAGCCCAGGCTGAGCAAGGAAAACCAAAGTCAGGGCCTCTGGGGAAACTTGCCCTGTTCCAGCCAGCCTTCTAAATGGAGGCACCGAAAATTCAGCGTCGTACGATCTGGCCCGAACGCCCCTGATAAAAAGCGCTGCTGAAAGCTCAACGACGGCAAGTCCAGCCAGCGGCAGCTGCCGTCGAGGTAGGCCAACACTAAGCAGAAAAGAATGTATCTCAGGGATCTGCCAGCCGATGGAGACTAAAACAAGAAGGGACACAGAAGAAGCAGAGAGCGAACCAGGCCGAAAAAAAACAAAAAAACAATTTGGAGCAGAGTCTCTTGGAAACTTCGTCGTCATCGCAAAATGATGTCGGGTGTTCGTCCAAACATAAAAAGCACCCAGAAAAAAGCCAGCACATGATAAGCGTCCTCCGGTCTGGTCGGGACATTTTGACGGAGAGTGCCATAGGAATTCTGGCGAATACAAGTCCCGCAAAAGAAAGATGTCGTCGAAGTCGGGAGAAGTTGGGATATTAAAATCGTGGATATAATAATACCAGGGAGCTATTGACTGACAGTGGCTTCGAGAGGAAGGGACTAAGCAGCGACATGGCAGAGCCGAGTCTTGACAAACAAAGATCCAAGGCGGAGGTGATTAGAGAAATCGACGCGCTGAAGGACCAACGAACTTGATATCGAAAATTTAGGTGCCGACATGGTCGGCGCGTCTGCTTGAAAGAGAGCCCGAGGAGCAAAGACTGGGCTGGGTCACTGACATTCAATCTGGTCCAGTATGTCTATGCTGGAAAAAGCGGTGGAGAAACTGCATCGTGACGTCGCCGGTGGGAGGAGCCTAATCTCCATCACTAACCAACTACATCGGAAGAGAACTGCACCGTGACGTGTCCGGTGACGTCGCCGAACAGTGGCGATTGAGTTAAAACTACATCGTTCTTTTTTTCCCTACAGGGAATTTCGGAGAATCGCCGAGTAGGCTAGCGCACGCCAGCTCGGAGCACGTGGAGCGAAAGCTCGCGCTGCAGAACCCCGGGATCGTGGGTTCAATCCCCGCTCCTGCCCCTTTCGATCTGCTGGATGAGCATCGTACCGGCGTGCGGTCGTGTACTGCGTGATGCACGTTAAAGTCCCCGGGCTGGCAGTCGTACTGCACTGGCTAAATTGCTTATCTACAGTGGGTAACAATGTCGCCATGTTCAGGCAGACTAACCTCCTGCTGTATAAACAACTAACGACAAATTTTACTTATTGACTGTATTTGAGTGCGTTAGTGCAACTTCTCTCGTGCTGCACGAGAAAGAAAAAATGTTCCTTCGCGGGTTAAATTTTCGGTGAAGTAGTAAGCAAAAAAGAAGAAAAGAGAATATTTCCCTCAAGTTGGTTTCGTAGTAGAAGAGGGGGAAGAAGAAAATCAGTTGTTAGTCCCACTGTGTGTATGGTCTTTTCTTTATGTGTATGTTTATTTTAGTTCAGCTGGCCTGATCTGAAGCAGTTGCTTTAAAATAAAGCATATCTCTCTCTCTATCCACCTCAAGTATGAACGAACTAGCTCAACTTAAGCCTGTTGCCGTTGCTTGCTTGGCATTTCGCTCAGCCAAATCGCTTATATGGGGTGCACTCAACTGAAAACACAATCGTGTTAAATCGTGTAATAGTATTTAGAATATTTATCGATAACGCCGCTGAACTTGCATCGCTCGAAGGACTTCCTTTTTGTGAGCGCCTTCTCTGCTTGAGTTTGTTGGAAACACAGCCATTTCGATCCGAGGCAATCGATGATAGCGTTGGGGACATCAACAAGTACGAGGCTCACAAAGCACTGGAAAACACCAATGTTTTCGTCGCTCCCGACGGTTCCCTGGAAGCCACCAGCGGCGTAAAAGCGTAGAGCTGCGAGGACTTGTTGTTCGACCGTCAGCACATGGGAGCCTTCAAGACAACGCTGGAGCTTTCCGCGAAGCTGGTCACACAGCCAGCGAGTCACCCCTTTGGTCAGCCGGTATTCGCCCACAAATCTCACATTGCTCGTCTCAAAAGCGTCCCGGTGATCTCTAAAAACTCGATCCGTTGGCGAACCCAACAGTAGAGATGCATATGTTAGGGTCGCCATTTTTTTACGATACAGATTGATCTTTGGCTTCGCATCGACCACTCAGTGATCTGCATCGTCAAAGTACATCGTGACGACATTTTGACGTCACCGCCAACTGCATCATTTTACGAGCATAGCCCTAACTGCATAGAGAAAAACTACATTTCAACGTCATGTCACGTGACCCGGGAAAAGAGCCAATCAGTGCCCGATGCAGTTATCTACATCATTCAGTTTGCGTTCCAGCTTAGATAGACAAAACAGCCTAATGAACAAGGTCACCAAAGCACGAAGGAGCTATACTGCAGAGAGCAAAAGCTGTTGACTGGTCTTAGAGATGAAGATCGCTATGATAACCATCCCTGGAAAGCATCAATCGATGCTTATAAGGTAATTTATTGCAAGTGTACAAATGAGCTGCACAATGACGAAAATATTCCCTGGCCAGGAGGAACAAAGGGGACAAAGGACAAACACAATCAATCGATAGTGGCTGCAAGAGCAAGAGACGCACTAGTGACATCGAGGAATCGAAGCTCGACAACCGAAAAGATCCGAGGGGGGGAATGAAAGCACCGGCACACCCATCTCGAGAAACCGTCCATCAAAAGCAGTTTCCAAGCAACAGGCCTGAAGGGGACACCAGTGAAACCACGCTTCGAAACCGAGCATCGCGAATAAGAGGAACAAAAGCTCTGCGGAGTCATCCATCGTGAAGAAGGTGCTAGACAAGCCGCCAAACTCGCCGCAGTTTGCAGTACGAGACGAAGAGCAGATAATCGAGGGAATGCTGGAGCGGTGCTTGACAAGTCTTCAACCTCGTCCAACTACCTGGAGTCCCTATGTCCCCGTAGCTCGTCAGGCGTGGTAGTCAATACAGAATTTTTCTGCCTAAGCCAAATGGAGTCGGTTTAGCCGGGTGTTTTTCTTATTTATTTTTTTAATTATTCAACACTCAGTGCGCAATAGATTAGACAGGGGAGTGGGAACAATAGGAATGCTAATATAAAAAAGCAAAATATATAATACTTAAATAACTGGAGACATGAAATTGCTAATAGATATAAGAAGAAGCGCGTGGTCGGTAATTCATATGAGCGATGCGGGTAAGCGGTTGCAGTCTTTGGAATTTCTAGAAAAAAAAGTCATATTAAACGTTAGAATGGCACAATTTGACGCTGACTTTGTGACGATGATCATATAGTGTTGAAACAAAGTAATGGGAGAATATTTGTTGTGAGTGGAGCACAGAAATATGGTGATCGATTTTAGCAAAACGAAATATAGAAGAAACTGTTGCACAATGTGCGAAGCTGGGGAGTAACAACCTGTCGTTCATTGACGTTACACTGGTGGTGAAGTTATCATTGGCCAGCTTGAAGCATGTATATCTGTTCTGAACACGTTCAAGTGAACCAGTAAATTAAATAATAGAGGGGTCCCAGACGAAAAGTACATACTCTAGGTTGGAACCAACTAGTGTTTTGTAAAGAATTATTTTTAAGAATGATGGCTAGAGGTTAATTTACGTTTGAGCAAGCCAAGCCTTCCATTTCCGTCGTTAATGATATAGTTAATATAAAGTTCTTAGGAAAGGTCAGCACTTAAAATCATGCTCAGATGCCTGTGTGAGTCTACAAGTTCTAACGGTGCGTTATTAGTACTAGGAGCAAAATTTAAATTGGCCTTACGTGTTTGGCGCATCATTTTGCATTTGTTAATATTGAGCACCATTGAACAGATGTCACACCAGTGTAGTATGGAATCTAGCTCATATAGTTATTTTTTTACTCAAAATCATGAATATTGCACGATAAATGTCACAGTCGTTACAAAAGTGTTTGATTAAATAAAAACACCTTTTGCAAGTTAATAAGATATAAATAATAAAGCAGAGGTCCCAGAACGAACTCCTGAGATACTT